ATTAATCTCAGCTCCACTCTTCAATGCCAGTGATGCAAGTCTTACTCTAATGCAGCTTTTGATGAGGTTGACGGTGTGCTGAACATTTGAGGATTTGTTTCTGAAGGCCCTAGCATTTCTTTCATGCCATATGAAATAGACAGCAGCTGAGAGCAAGAGTTTGTGGATGGTGAAGTGCTTCAGAAGTGTATATCATTAGCTGCACAACAATAATCAAAGTCTATAAATGAATCTCACAAACCTTCATGATTAAAAAGCACCAAGAAATGCCCCAATTGTACAAAAAGAAGAAGAAGAAGAAGAAGAAGAAGAAGAAAAAGGAATTCTATTTTATTAAGATGTGTTATTTTTATTATTATTATTATTTTTACTTTATGAATTTTAATTTGTGATTTTATCTTGAATTATGTGTCTGGCTGTTTGTGTGTTTTAAAATTAATTTATTTTTTATTTTTTTATTTTTTTATAATGTAGGAAAGATCTATAGCAAAATTATTATTATAGAATCTAAAACCTAATATAACATAATAACTTGGATTCAATTTTGATAATTTTACGTTTGGGACACCTTTTCTACTAAATTTTCAAATAATTAAAACTAGAAGTTAGAATTTTTACCACGAATGTCCCTTTCTACTAAATTTTCAAATAATTAAAACTAGAAGTTACAATTTTTACCATGAATGAGTGATCTCTTCCTCGTGAATAAGAATCATAATTTACATAATTCACTTAAAAACTTTTTATAATTGTTTTTTGATTTTGTATTTTTTAATTACGATTAAATTTTTAAAAAATACCGAACAAAGAAATAGAGTAGTTGAAAATAATAATATAGAGAGTGCAGAAAATAATATATATATACACACACACACACACACACACATACCTACACACATATATTTAAATTAGAGATAGAGAGATAAACTTAGTGTAATTGTTCGTGCTTTCTTTTCCTTCAATTGACAATTCCTTTAATTTTCTAAAATAGGAAACACAAATGCATAAAAGAATAAAGTATAATATGTATTGAAATAGAGGACATTATTATCTTTTTAGTTATCGCCACATCAGATTCAAGATCATATCTCCAATTTTAATAGGGAAAAAATCTTCTCCAGTTACTCTCTCACTGAGTGAGCATCTAACGGTAGTGATTAATTAATGCCACCTCACCAATATAGCTTTGTCATCACCAAATCAATGCCAAGTCAGCAAGTCCAAAAACAAATAAAAAATACTTTTGTTGTACCATATGTATGAATACCACCCTATGCGTTATACTTTATATAATATTATTGTAAAGAGTATAATATTATACAATTTAACTTTACCTTTTCATTGCATGAAATTAAAATAAAATTACCTTTTTGACTAAAATTAAAGTAAAATTATAACGCAAAATAATCTCACTTTTAAACAATTCAACAAAAATAATATATATATATATATATACACACACACACACACATAACATGCTACTTAAACAAAATTACAAGGAAGAACAAATCATATAATTATGGATTATAAGGGTTAGTATACATACTCCTACCTCAAAAATAGATCCAAATCACTCGATTCTCAAGTTTTATCCAATTCAAAAATTTCGAATCGTAGTTGCGTAGGATTTAGTCGAATTGAATAGTTTGCCAATTAAAGTTTCAATCATCATGTATATCAAATTGTGTATCTATTATATATATATATATATATATATATATATATATCATATTGCATCTCTGTAAGAACTCTAGAGATAGTTACATCTCATATATATAATTAGATTGTGTATCTCTTGCTATATATAAAATATTCTGTCTTTGATTATTAATATATATCAATTATTTTGATAGACATTTTTTAATTGCTATAATGATCAAAGTTGATGATTTATCTGACTCCCAGAAACAAAAATAAGGAGAGGAATTTTAAATTTGTTTCGCAAAGAATTGAAAAATTGTAAAAAAAATATTGTAATTTTTTGTTGTAGATTTTGTACAAATCAATTCGAAAAAAAAAAAAAAAAAGAAGAAGAAGAAGAAGAAAGAAAGATGATACAACCATAAATAGAAAATTAAAAAGATACGGAAATGAACAATGAAAAACTGAATAATAAGGGAAGAAAAAGAGACTTATTTTACAAAAACAAGCCAGAGTAATAATGATACTTATTTAAATTGAATTTTAAAATAAAAAGTCGTCTGTAATATCATTTTCTTTTTTTATTTTCTTTTAACGGCCCAGAATCTCACATGTGCACTGAGGAATAAGACGACAATCGGACATTGGAGCAACGTGTTTCGATGACAAGACGAATCATCTAGACCAGCATCCGAAATGACAAGGAGTGGACTGAACCCAAGAGCACGGACTGAATCGGTGAGAGAATGAACTTACTAGTGAGCAGCCTGTTCGTTTTCTACACGACAAAGCGTCATTCTGCTTCACCTCTTCTGCGAGCAAATTAACCACGCTTTTAAAGAACAAAAATAGGGGAAAACCAATTTTCTAAGGATCCAAACACAATCAACCAAAAAAAGCAAAAACATACCGAGTTCATTGAAAGTAAACTAATTTTCTACTAATCCAAACACAATCCAAATCCACAAGAAAATGACGAAAATAAGAGGAAAACAGGGGAAAAAAAGGACAATCAGAGCAACCATTTTCAGCCCCAAGATTAATTAGAACACTAAACTGAAATCAGAAATGCCACACAATTGTTACAACGGCTACAAATAAAATCCAAAAATCAATTCAAGATTTGACTCCGACATAACGATCGAAGGCGCCGAAACGGAGACACTGGGACGATGTCTCGAAATTGCAGTTCTTTGATCTCGATCTCGGTATGCTTTTACTGAAAAAGTCAATAGGTCTGCAGACAGGTTTTCCGGCCAAATTGACACGCGACTGGGGACTCCGTCCATGATTCGGAAGAATGTGAGAAAGTTTGAGAAAATTAAAAATTTAAGGATGTAGAGAGAGAGAGAGGAAGCAGAGGAGTGAGAGAGAGCCACGGGCACATCGTTACTGGAAAAACTAAGAATGTAGGGAGATAGTTTCGTTAAAGAAAACTAATAGCATAGTGACCCGTGGATGTCGTTTTTTGTGTCGGTATTATGTTTTTGTTGTAAAAAATATTATTTTTCTATAAAAAATATATATCTAAAATAAGGGAAGAAAAAAATGTAAGAGGGGCACATACTCCCTGTTCTTATATGTACTGGCTCCGTCCTGCATGAGGTTACAAGTCTAAACTGTCAGTTGAAGATACCTCTCCATCTGATGGGGAATGCAAAGCCTAGATGCTGTCTGACGTGATTATTATACAACTAAGTCCGTGCCATATTAAATGTCAATTTCATAAATTTTGTGAGTCAAAATTATCGAAGTAAATATTTAATATGAAATATATATAATATATAAGTATATAAAAGGAATACGTTTAAAAATGATCTCAAAAGAACTTAAAAATAAAAAATAGTAGTGAGTTAAAGTTTTCGAAATGAACTACTAATATGGGATAGAGATAGTATTAGTTATGCTGATACCAAATACCATTGACTAGTTTCCAATTAAATTTAAATACTGGCACTACCACCAAAATAGATAAACATACATGCTTGGCAAACTCCTCTGTTTCAGATTGTGGGATGGCTCTCCCATAAATGGTTTCTCTATTTGGGATTTGGGGCCTTAAGTGTCGCTAGCCATTGGCTCTGACCTTGTACAAGTTCTTTTTCTATACAATACAACTTACCTTCCCAAAAAAAAAAAAAAAAATGAGCACTCCTCAGCCACATTTATATTCATTTATCATATAATAAAAATGAATAATAATAATAATAATAATAATAAGAAGAAGAAGAAGAAGAAGAAGAATGGTTAAAATCATAAAGCTCCTTTTACTTTTAAAACTGTGCGTAAAACCTAATAGAATTATAAAAGTGTTCGAACTAACAAAACTAATGACGCTACCCTCAAACCCATGACTGACCCGTTAAATGGGTTGTGAAATGCCAAATTATTTGACTTTTTTATTTAACATTAAATCAAAAGCTATAATTATTATTTTAAAATTAAAAAATTATCCTTTATAATAATATTATTTAATGTTAGATGAGTTGTTATCTAGCTTACAATGGATTGATGATCCATTTCTTGCCCGCAGTATAATTATTATTATTATTATTTTGAAAGATGCCCACAGTATTATTTTGTAATTTAAAAATAATAATTATACTTTTTAATTTGACCTTGCTATAACTCATTTGACGGGTTGGTTACAATTTGAGGGTAATTCTTCAGTTTTGTTAGTTCAAACTATTTTTTAATTCTAATAAGATTTTATGCACGATTTTAAAATTAGAGTGGATTTTATGTTTTTTATCCTAATAATAATAATAATAATAATAATAATAATAATAATAATAATAATAATAATAATACCTGGGCCCAAATATTAGACATACCAACAAGGTCATGGGCTTCGGAAAACTACAAAGCATAGAAGTAATATGAAATATTCAATGAGGGAAGAAAGGGGTTATAATCAAAAGTCATAGCGAACTATCATAGTAAACCATCATTGAGGGTAACTTCATCAATTTTGTTTGTTCAAGCTATTTTTTAATTCTGATGAGGTTTTTTAGGCACGATTTTAAAATTAGAGTAAATTTTGTGATTTTAATCCTAATCCTAATCCTAATAATAATAATAATAATAATAATAATAATAATAATAATAAGAACTGGGCCCCCTAATATTAGACATACCAACAAGGTCATGGGCTTTGGAAAACTACAAGCATAGAAGTAATATGAAATATATGTGAAGCATCGAGGGAGGAGGAAAGGGGTTATAATCAAAAATCACAAGGAGAATCAAAATCGTCAAATACAAACCCTAGCCCTAACGCCTGTATACATATATAAATATATCGACACAGAGATACCTAGAATACATAGGTGTGAGTAGCGTTCAGAATCACAATTATCATGAAAAACGCGCAGCCACCCACGAAGAAGATGAAGAAGAATAAGAAGGGAAAGGTAAATTATGGGTTTTCAATTATCATGAAACACGCGCAGCCACCCACGAAGAAGATGAAGATGAAGAAGAAGGGAAAGGTAAATTATGGGTTTTCAGTTCCACAAGAGATTATCCGGGAGATACTGAAAGAACTTCCTGTGAAAACCTTACTGAGATTCAGGTGTGTTTCCAAGCTCTGGCACTCCATAATTGACGATCCACTCTTTGTTCAGTCGCACCATAATCTGTCCATCATTCGGCCTGACGGTATCAACCTTCTCTTCGTGAGTAAAAAAAAATCAAAATTGGCAACTCTACTCCCCAGATCCAAAAGGCGGCCCAGCCCTTCACCTTCTGTCTGTTCCCGTCCCTACAGACTAGGGTTTTCCTTTGTATTCCGTCAACGGCTTGATCTGTTTTCAGAACTGCATATGGAACCCTAGCACCAGAGAACGCAGAAAAGTTCCACGCACAACGATAAGCAGTCCAAAAACTATTGATATACGAGTAGGACACAATCCATTGAAAGTTATATCCTTCAATCTTTTAGGGTTTGATCCTTCTAGTGGAAAACACAAAGTACTTAACATAAGCGAAACTATATGTACACCGGAAGAATGTGATGACGATTTTAATGATGATGGTGAGGAGGAAATCCATACACAGTTCAAGGTTTTGACTCTAAGCAGCCATGGTGGCGAAGCCTCCACGTGGAGAGATATTGATATTGATTCTTCTGTTAATGGTACTCTCCCGCAAGAGCGTCAATTAGACCAATTCTTTGCAAATAGATTCTTTTCACCTGACAGATTCGCAGCTGCTGAAAGCGCCTGTTGCATCAATGGAACTATATATTGTCTAGGAAGTACGTTTGACGATCTGAACAATCTGATATTGGCTTTCGAAGTTGGACCTGAGAGTTTGAAAATCATGCGATTTCCCCAAGGAGCCACATCAGATTCTTGTTTTGCAATAGATGTAAGAGAATGTCTGGCTTTGATAAATTTTGAGCTGACCAAAATTTGGATACTAGAAGACTATGGCAAGCAACTCTGGAATATGCAGATTCTCTACATACCACTTTTCTTGAAACAGGCGGTACCCATTGCTACCGTTCGTAGCACGGGTGGTAAGATTTTATTTCAATATGACACATCAAAATTCTTCGATTATGATCTGGAAAGTGAGAAAGTGAAAAAGTGAGGATGATCACCAAGTTATCAAAATTAAAAAAAAAATTCTTAGTCATCAAGCATGTGGAAAGCTTATTTGGATTGATTGGCATGTGTAGAAGTCTAATTAAGTGATTCATTTTGGTTATAACTAGCTCTTGTTCTCTCTTTAATTGTTCTCATTAGAAGGTAATTTTATTCAAGAATATATAGTTAGATACTTGATGGTGCCTTTATATATTGTTAAGCTGCTGACATAAGCGTACGTATATTAACAATTGAATGAATGATTTGTTTCACAGTGTAATTATAAATAAAAACCTTAATAGTATAAAGGAAATTATAAAAACATATAGAAATTAGTTGTGCAAAGAAATTGATCAAAAACAAACTTGCTCGGAATATTATGTACAAAAACTTAATTGCTGAAAATTACGAAATACCAAAAAAAAAAAGCAAATCGAATCCGTTTAGTCTTTTATCAAAAATCCTGAAATTGAAAAAAAAGTCAGAGCCCTAAACACTGTTCACTCTCATTGATGCACCACTTTTAGGCACATAGGTACCACTTTTAGGCACATAGATATCACTTTTGTTTTGACAGAAGTACCACTTTTATTCACATAGGTATCATATTTTGTGTACATAGGTATCATTTTTTGTGCATTAAGTATCATTTTTTTGTACAGCACAAAAAGTGTACCTGCATGCACAAAAAGTGGTACATTTGTGAAGGTAAACAGTGTTTCTATATTTTTATTTTTTAAAAAATATGACGCTTTGACTTTACCAAATAGTAAATATGAGTCATTAACGCTATTTATATTTAATATATATAAATAAATTATTTCCTTTCGTCTCTGTTGCTGGGCTTGTTTGTCAGGCGTTGGGCCTCTTCGGCCTGTTTTCCCCTTAGGCTTCGGACTGCTTTCACGTCCATTTGGGTCAGTTTTGGCCCTTTTTCGTTTTCGGGGCCCTTGCGCTGTTTAGTATAAACCCTAGCTTCGCTCGTGGAATCGCAATTGTCAAGGAAGGAAAACAAAGTGGTCAGTCAGATCGATTATGAAGAAGAAGAAGACGACGAGGTCAGTCAGATCGATTATGAAGAAGAAGAAGAAGACGACGACTACTAGGGTTTCAGTTCCGCAAGAGATTATCTTCGAGATACTGAAAGAACTTCCAGTGAAAACCTTACTGAGATTCAGGTGTGTTTCCAAGCTCTGGCGCTCCATAATTGATGATCCACTCTTCGGTCAGTCGCACCATAATCGGTCGATCAATCGGCCTGGCGGTATCAAACTGCTCTTCGTGACTACACTGGGATACCATTATTGGACATTCTACTCCACAGATCCAGAAGGTGGTTCGGCCCTTCGCCTTTCATCTAATATTCTCGCCGACTTGTATTTTCCTTTGTATTCAGTCAAGGGATTGGTCTGTTTTCAGAACTGTAACTGTAACCCTAACACTAGGGAACGCAAACCACTCCCGCCAGTAGCAATTCAAATACCAGGAGGATTCCATAAATTGACAGTAGCATCCTTCAACCTTTTAGGGTTTGATCGAGCTTCTGGGAAACACAAAGTCCTTAACATAACTCAATTTGATTTTGTGGATGATGATGAGGATGAAGGGAAAACCCAGTTCAAGCTTTTGACCCTTGGCGGCGCCGCCTCCAAGTGGAGAGATATTGATCATAATAATACTGATTCCTCCGTTTATATTCCATTAGACAGATTCTCAGTTGGTGATAGTAAAAGAGCTTGTTTTATCAATGGTACTATATATTGTTTAGGTACTATATATTGTTTAGAAAAAAGACGTGTGATCTTGGCTTTCGAAGTTGGACCGGAGAGCTTGAAAATCATGCCATTTCCTAAAGGTGCAGCTAGCGATTCTTTTTTCGTTATACCAGTGAGAGAACGTTTGGCTTTGATAAATTCTAGGGTCACCGAAATTTGGATACTAGAAGACTATGACAAGCAGCTCTGGAAAAAACAGACTCTCAAGGTGCCATGTCCATGCAAGAGATCTATAGTGCCGTTTTGTAGCATTGGTGGAGAGATTTTATTTGGATATAACGAAGGTAAGTTCTCATTCTTTTATTATGATCTGGAAACTGATACAGCGGGGAAGGTCCAAGAGCTGTCAAAATTAGTGGCATCAACTCCTGTCTACTTCACCAACCACACAGAAAGTATATTTCGATTGGAGGGTATCTGATTTTTCATGCGAATATATAACTTATTTTGATTGAAGGGTATGGAATTCAAATGGCTGCTGTGCTTTTATTAATGGTATGTTTTCTTTCTTCTTAAGTTTTGGAAACATTCAAGTAATTTACTTTCTTTTAAATGATCATTATCATTGATCGGGCATTAGGGTGACACACTCAAAATCTATGGAAATTTGTATTCTGAATGCTCTGATACTGATACGTGTGTTAAATAAGTGGATACTACTTGCGAATAGATATTGGATGGATTCACCTGAACGGTAAGTATTGTGCAAGCACGCAGGGGTGGATCTTTGTACAAGTTAGTGGGGCAATTGCCCCTATTGAATTTTTTACTTTTAGTTATATATCATACTATGTTATTTATTTTGATATATATACTTATAAAATTACATAACTGCCCCATTAAAATTATTAAAAAATTACACTATCGCCCCCTCTCACACAATTCTGTCCTTACATGCACGGACGCCTGTTGTGCACTTACGGTTCGAATAAGCCCGGTGTACAGTGAGTTAAGCGCACCCAATTAATACCATCTCATAAACTCAGTATTCTCAGAAAAAGATATACATGTTTTTTTTTTTTTTTTTCCTTTCGCCATACATAAAAGATATATATAAATAAAAGATAACTCCATACATAAAAGATATATATAAATAAAAGATTACTCAATTTTTGTGATTCAATATGAATTTTTTATGTGACTGCCTAATAGATGAAATATATTCTAGAGTTTTATTGAATCTTTTCGAGTGTCTATATGAAAATCGACATAAAAGGTGTTTTAAATGTCAGTTGGAAGGGGTGGGTGATCAGCCAAGGGGGTAGGTTATCAGCCAAATCAACTTTGAGAAAGATTATATATGTTTGCATTAAATCAAACGTGAAGTTTCCTGATCACTTGAAACAGATTTTTGGACAAGGATCCTCTCTTATGAATTCCGCAGGACTCAATTCTACGCTCATTAAGATTAAGACCGCATGATCAAACCCAAATACTACATCCAAGTAATCACATCAAGCTGTTTTTGCATACCAACGACTCATTAAAATTTTACCCAAGTCTAATTTCGAATTCACCACCATTGACCGTGTAAAAACTGAACATTAAAGGTGAGTCTCTGAGCACTTTGACACTCCGAGACCTCAAGAATCTGGAGGGTCAGAGATATATATACATGTGAACAACTTTTGCATAAAGAGCATCACAGTTACCTTAACACCATGAAGCTTTCCTCCCATCCTTTCCAACCTTCCAAACACAATCCCATACCAAATCATCTCAAACCGCCATTCCTACCCACTCAACCCAATCCCAAGACTCGACCACTACATGCATCAGGAGTGGCAACCAAGCCATCACTGAACCAGAATCCAATTCCCAAGAAAACAGTTATAAGAACACTGCCACTATACCCTTCTCCATCTCCTAAAACACACACAAATGCGACTAACAAAGACTTGTCCAGAATCAAAACCTCGATGCAGAACAACAGCACTCGCAACCCAGGGCATAAAGTCATCACTGAAGTGGATTATCTGCCGGATGGATTTGATGTTGCCATCCTTGATGCGTCCAAATTTAACCTCATCAAAGAGGTAGCTCAACTTAAGATCCTCCTTAAAGCCAAAGAAGAGGTGCTTGAAGCTATCAGGAAAATGATGTTCATTCGTTCTTCGCCCTCTGTTGATACAACAATGGCAACAAGGGACAACTTAAGATCCTCCTTAAAGCCAAAGAAGAGGTGCTTGAAGCTATCAGGAAAATGATGTTCATTCGTTCTTCGCCCTCTGTTGATACAACAATGGCAACAAGGGACAACCCCATCTTTATTGGTGATTCTCAGCACCTGAAGGGAGATGCCATGTTGGTACCCCACGCGCCACCACCTGTCACCTTGACAGCTTTTCCTGAATTGCAGGTTTCAAATTAAAATTTGAATTTAGTTTCAAATACTTCCTTCCCCCTTGTTTGCTCTGCACTGTTACCCCATATGACAGGCCCCACATCATCTGTACCACAAACTAAATCCCATATACCCCCTTCAATCCCAACTAACTCTTGACTCTTTCTCGTTCCATCCCAACCAAACTAACCAACTTATCCAAACAAACCAGAAAAGTTCTACACCTCCTAATTTTCAATTACCTGCTCGCTTGTCACAAACCGCAAACCTCCCCACATCCAATCACTTAACCATCTCAGGAGAACTAAACAAAGACATTATTGAGAATGAAGACGGGGGCATTAGTTGGGCATCAGTGGCTCAATCTCCCTCGGATAACTGGAACTTTGAGTACTATGAACCAGTCTCAATGACTGAGAGATGAGGTTTGTGAGGAAGGTGATAACTATTGGAAAAACTATTTACTGTTCTTTTTTAACAGGAAGATGCCCTACAAGGTTGTTTCTAAAATTGCATATAGGCTTTGGAAGAGCAGAGGCCTTCTCAAAGTTATGGTTAGTAAAGAAGGCACATTCTTCTTCAAATTCCACTCTCTTGATGAGTGCAGAACTATCCTTGTAGGTAGACAGTGGACTTTTGCAGGTATGTCTATCACACTTAAGCTATGGCAGAGTGAATCACAACTTTCTAATAGTCGTAAATGTAGCACACTCTCAGTTTAGGTGAAACTCTTTAATGTACCTCTTCGATTGTGGTCACCTAAGGGTCTCAGTTATGTTGCAAGTGCAATTAGAACCATTGTTTGCAGATGCTAACACCCAATGCAGAAACAGATTTGATTATGCTAAAGTGTGTGTTGAATTTAGCCCTATGTCTCAATTACCTAAAACATTTCAAGTTAGAAACAATGGCAAGATGGTGTCAATTAATGTTCAATATCCCTGGATGCCATTTAGCTGTACCAATTGTGCCACTTTTGGTCACTTTAATGAGTAATGTGAAGCCCCTCACACCAGTGATGAAGGGAATTGTCAAGCCCCTCTGATTGTTAATGAAGGTCCACAATCCCCTACCTGGCAGAAGGTCACAAGGAAGAAAAAAAAACACCATTGCCAATTGTACCCCAATCCAAAATCCCTTTACATAGCACAATAGTAGTACTATTCAACAGGAGGTATCCACGTCAAATGTTCTTGTCCAGCTGGCATCAGACATCATTAACTGTCTAACATCATCTGGTATTTGTAGGAGTGCACTGCCCATTTCAGGTACTGCATTTGATCACACATTGCACAATGAGGTGCAATGCAATCCCCCATTGGAGACTAGTCCCCTAATAATCTTGGATATTATTCCAAGCCAGTATAAAAGAATACAAACCCATGTAGCCTCTGAGGAACCCCCATTACAAACTGAGTGCACACATGGTCCTAATTTAGTTGTTGATCTTTCATGCCACAATATGTTTGATTCCCATGATTATTCTCAGCCACTTGCAACTATGAATACTTCCAACCCCTTTGATACACTGGCTATTGTAAAATCTGCACCTGTACATACTTCCAACTCCTTTGATGCATTGGCTATTATAAAATCTTTTGATGATATTGTTGAGGATGCTGACTGCTGTGAGAGCAGTGAGCCTGAAGAGGAGCACTTATCTAGTACCAATCAATATCCTACCTATTTTCCTATCATGAACAAAGCCCTCAAGTCTAGAAAGCCATCTCAGGGCAAACATTCCAAAATCAATAGAAGAACAAAGGTGTCAAAGCCTTGTTTATCCAATGTTGCTACCCTTGAGGGGTTTAGAGGGTTATGTAAGCTCACCAGTTCTTCCCAATGAACTGGGGTGCTTGAGGGTTGAACTCCCCCCTCAAGTAAGTGGAGGCCAAAAAACTTATTGTGGAAAAGGAGTTATGTTTATTAGCTTTATTAGAAACCAAAGTCAATTGTGACAATGTGGAGAATATACATAGGGCCATTGCTCCCTCTTGGCAAATACAATGTAACTATAACTTTTTAGTTTTGGGCAGAGTCTGGATATTATGGAATCCCTTGAAGATCTCACTACTTGCAATGTCACAGAATAGCCAAGTCATTAACTGTTCAGTTCTACTCTTAGACTTGAAAATTAAATGCTTAGCTTCTTTTGTATATGCTGCAAATATTGCCTTGGAGAGGGTTCCCCTTTGGAGAAGTCTTAACCTACATAGTGATCCTGGAGTACCATAGATACTCATGGGGGATTTCAATGTCCTATTACATGTTAATGAAACTTTTGGAGGTACACTAAGGTGGACTCAAGGGATGGAGGATTTCAAGACTTGTTTATACAATAATGAGTTGGAAGGATATGAAATTTTTAGGAATTTTCTTCACTTAGACAAATACTAGTCTGGGATGCGCCAACATCTCTAGAAAGCTTGATAGGGTCTTGATTAATCAATCTTGGATGAATGTGTTTCTTAATGCAGCCTGTGAATTTTTGACTCATGGTATTTCTGATCATTCACTAATGGTGGTCAAGTTTGGAATTCAAACCAAAAAGAAGAACCTATCCTTCAGATTTTTTAACTTCTAGATCCTCAATGACAAGTTTATGGAGATAATTCAGCAGGGATAGAATACTCATGGACAGGGTACAATGATGGTCTCTGTGACACAGAGATTGAGAGCACTGAAAAAACCACTGAAGATGCTTAATAAAAATGAGTTTGGGGATGCCTCAGCAAAGGTTGTTGCTTATAGAGAGGAGTTGATACAATACCAAACTAGCTTTGATCTCAACCTTGCAGATTACTTGCTAAGGTTGAATGAGATGGAGATTACAAGGAAATTCAATGACTTGTGTTTAGTTGAGGAAATTTTCTTTAAGTAGAAGGCTCAGGTTCATTGGCTAAAGGTGGGTGATCAAAACACAACATACTTTATGAAGTCATTCTCATCCAAAACCAATAAGGGGAAGATTGTTTCAATTGAGGTTCCTAATGGCAATGTTGTATAAGGGCATGAGCTGCAGGTTGAATTTTTGAGGTACTTCCAAAGCCTACTTGGTCAGAGCTACAATCATTATC